GCTGCCAGCTTGTCTTAATCAGGTCTTTTGTTGATGTTGCTTGCCATCATCACTGCTACTTCAGCTTAGAAACAACATTATTGTTAGTTTTTAATCAAAATAGGCTGCTCTGCTCATACCTTCAAGGGATTTGAGAATAGAGTAGTTGAAGAACTGCATAATGGTTAATCAGATTATCAGCATTTTTTGAAATGCATATGCCATGTGAATAGGATATATTCTCTCCCTTTGTTAGCTGTATGACCATAGATATGTTACCTAACCTCTCCGAGCCTCAATATCCTTACTGTAAAATGGGGAAAATAATTCCTACCAGATTTCCACTAGGAAGATTGAATATTAAATGACCCAAGAGCTTTGAAATTAGGTGATTAACAGATATGCTACCTCCTTTCTCCAGTTCTTTCTACCCTTTCCTTTGTTCCCTCCTTCTCTTCATCTCCCATACATGTTTACCTGTCTCTGTGTGAACATCAAATATTTGTAGTACTCTCCCCACTTTAAATTCTTAAACCAAGTGATGTAACCTTTGTATATTACTGTAAATTTGTCAAAGCAAGCTAATTTAAATGATTTGGGGGACAGACACACCTAGAATTATTATATCTTCTTGGTGGCTTGGCCCTTTCTTATTATGTAATATCCCACTCTGTTCCTGGGATTTGTCTTTGCTCTGAAATCTGCTTTATCTGACATTAACACAGCCATGCCTGGTTTCTTTTAATTCAAGTTTCCATGGTATCTTTTCCCCTCCTTTTACTGTCAGCATATGTATATTATTATATCTGAAGTGCATTTTTTATAGATAGCATACGCTTGTATCATTTTTTAAATCCATTTTTAATTGGTGTGTTTAGACCATTTATATGCACATGATTATTGGTATGTTAAGCCGCAGCCTGCCATTTTATTTTGTGCTGTTTGTTCTCTCTGGTTTTAGTTTTTGTTTTTTCTTCTTTGTCCTGCTTTCCTATGGGTGACTTGCACATTTTTTTAATGTTTATTTTTGAGAGCGAGAGAGAGAGAGAGTGCGAGCAGGGTAGGGGCAGAGAGAGGGAGATAGAGAATCTGAAGCAGGCTCCAGGCTCTGAACTGTCACCACAGAGAACAACATGGGATTTAAACCCACAAACTGCAAGACCATGACCTGAGCTGAAGTCAACAACGCAGGGCTTGAACCCATGAACCGTGAGACCATGACCTGAGCTGAAGTCAGATGCTTAACCAACTGATTCACCCAGGAGCCCCTTGAACATTTTTTTAAAATTCCACTTTGATTCATCTATAATGTTTTTGAGTGCATCTCTTTGTATAGCTTTTTTAGTGTTTCCTCTCATTATTACAGTATGTATGCATAATTTATCTCAGTCATCTGATGTCATCATTGTTATCAGCTGAAGTGAAATATACAAACACCATCCCACTTTTATATCCCTTTACACTCCCCTATTTGTGACATGAATGTCTTAAACATTTCCTCTATGTACACGGAGAATTACATGAGACAGGGAGATAAATTTCGATCCAATCATCAAACATAATTCAGACAACTCAAGAGAAAAAAAAAACTTTTCTTGTATTTACTCATGTTTTAGCTCACTGTGTTCTTCCTTGCAAGAGTCCTTTTACTGTTTATTTTGTGTTCAAAGAACCTACTTTAGTCATTAGTCATTCTTATAAGGTAGACTTCCTACTGATAAATTCCCTGCTTCAATTCATTTTAGAATGTCTTAATTAATCCTTTTATTCATGTAGGATATTATCACTGGACATAAGATTTTGGGTTTCATTCAGGATTTCTTTCAGGGTTCATGATTCTCTTCCTTCAGCACTTGGAAAATGTTGTGCCAGTTCCTGCTAGGGTCTGGTCAATGTCTGATGAGAAATCTGTTGTCTTCTAATTTTTCCCCCTGAATGTATAGGTAAGGTGTTGTTTGTCTTTGGTTGCTTCCTAGATCTTTTCTTTGCCTTTTGCTTTCAGCAGGTTGATTATAATGTATCTTGGTGTGAATTTCTTCACATTTATCCTGATGGTGTTTGCTTAGCTTGATGATTCTGGAGGTTCAAGTCCTTTGCTCAATTTGGGAAGTTTTAGCCAGTATTTCTTCAAGTACTTTCATAGTCCTCATTTCTCCTCAATTCCTGAAATTCTGTTGACATAGATGTTAGATCTTTTTTATAGTCCCACAGGTCTGGAGGCTGTGCTTAAGTCTTTCTTTTATCTTATTTTTTTGGAATCTAATTTTCCTTTGTTTGGATTTTGATTCCTATAGTTTGATGTTTAAATTGTCTGATTTGTTCCTCTGTCTTCCCCATCTTGCTGTGGAGCCCATCCACTCAGTGTGTGTGTGTGTGTGTGTGTGTGTATTTGTATATATGTATACAATTTAAAGTGGATTTTAAAAAATGATCAAACCATGTGCTGTGTATTAAAAATGTACTTCAAATATAATGATATAGGTAGGATGAGAGTAAAAAGAAATGATAACATGGAAACTTGAATTAAAAGAATCCAGGAGTGACTATGTTAATATCAGATAAAGCAGATTTCAGAGCAAAGGAACAGAGTAGGATATTACATAATAAGAGAGGTGAGGCCACCAAGAAAATATAACAATTCTAGACATGTATGCCCCCAATATGTATGTATGTATGTGGTATGTGTGCATGTGTGTGTGTGTATATATGTGTGTGTGTGTACACATACATAATAATTTTCAGTTCATAAATTTCTGTTTAGTTCTCCTTTATGTTTTATATATCCTTGCTGAGACTTTCTATCTATATGCTGAGATATTCAATTTCATCATTTAAGTATGGTGCAATAGCTTAGTGTATCATTTTTATGATAGCTGCTTTAAAATCCTTGTTGGGATGAGCACTGGGTATTGTGTGGAAGCCAATTTGACAACAAATTATATTTAAAAAAATCCTTGCAAGATAATTCTAACATCTGTGTCATCTCAATGTTGGCATGTGTTTACTTTCTCTTGTCATTTAAGTTGATAATCTTGGTATGGCAAGTGATTTATCTAAAAATTAAATTTGGACAATAGATCTCTTTTAAATCTTTTGGTTTTTGCAGACCTGACATATGTTTTGTTTTGTTTTGTTTTGTTTTGTTTTGTTTTGTTTTGTAGGAAGTGATCAGTATAAGTCCAGGTTCTCCACTGGGCCCCTGGTTGACTGCCAGGTTTGCAAGGGGCTCCTTGCTACTGCTCGTTGCTGGTGAGACTTCAGCCCTTTCTGTAGGCCTCTGATGTACCCATCCCAGCTAGTGGGTAGGAATGCCTGGTTTATACTGGTAAGGGTAGAGGTTCCCCATGTATTCTCCACTGGTAGGAGTTACTTCCCTTGCTCTCAATTGTACCTTCTTTTGGGGTTGAGCAGAGGTTTCTTTAAAGTCCATTAAGAGTAAAAGTCTAGGTCTCCCACTTTCAGGCCTAAGCTTCTTATTACCTGTTATTAGCTTATTAGCTTATTGTTATTATGATAGCTGGCCTTCTGACACACCAAAGTATCTCACTCCCTATCTTCTTATAATTTTTCAGAAAAATATTGCAACATAACGCCCCTCTCCAGCCTTTCCCATGGACCCTCCATGGGATACAGTGGGAAAACCAGAGCCTCTGCATACAAATTGACTGGGTTCCTATCAAAATCTGGCATTTTCAAGCTGTTTGGCTCTGGGAAAGCTACTTAAATGTTCCGAGCTTCCATTTTCCCAGTTGTAAAAGAGATGTAGGAAGCTCTCCGGACTCTTGCTGAAATAAGCAATAGTGGGTCAGTGAGCTTGGCACACCAGGTGCTCAATAAATAATAGTTCCCTTCCCTTTAAACCCCTGTGGAAGAGATGCAGACCATCCAAAGGAGAAAAAAAGCTCAAGTGCTTCCCTACACTGCCTATATGTGTGAGTCTCACCTAAGGCATTCACTCCAAGGATTAAATCTTTTGGTCCAAAGTCTTATTTCTTAAAGAGACATACTTGCTATCCACTATCCCCACTCCTGCTTTTCCCCAGGTTCTGTGAAAACACTCAAGGGAAACTGCCCAACCCAGGCCAAGCTGGAGTGGGCGAAGGGGTGTGGTTCTGGCAAAGCATAGTAGGTGCAGGAAAGCCCAAGAAGTCCACTTGCCAGATGATACTGTGTTCTGAGCAAGGACAACAGCCTTGCTAATGCTGCTCCTGGAGGAAAGGGTCAGGACACAGGCAACTCCAACTTTGCTTGCCTACCTTACACCTCTGGAGTCTTAGAACTGCAGTTGAGCTCCCACTTTCTGGCACAGCCACCACTTCCCCAGTCTCCATTGATCCCATCCTCCTTATGGAGCACCGGGTAGGAGAGGAAGAAGATGGTGAGTGTGTGAATGCAAAAATGACACACTCTGGAGTGCTTGAGTGCTTGCCATCCTCCCAGTCCCAGCCTGCTGGATACCGCTGCACCCCCAACTCTCAGTCCCTGGCAGCCACCACCAGCCCCAATGCACTGGACTTTGTTCTCAAAAGGCTAGACTGAGTTCCAGGTCCTGAAGTTGATCAGGAGACTGAAAACAAAACAAAACAAAACAAAACAAAACAAAACAAAACAAAACAAACAAACATCTTGACTCTTAAAAAGCAAGGAGCCAAATACACCCTGGAGCCAACAAACACTAAAAAAATAATGGATTTAAGAATGCTGTCCCTCAACTCCCATCCCTAGATGAAAAACGCTGTCTTGGAACCAACAACCCCCCCAACCCCCCTGTGTCTCCATCTGGCTTTTCTATGACACTGGCAAGAGAGACGTCTCTGTTGGTCATTCTCTCTGCTAGTCTCAGTTCCGACACTTTCCAGCCTCCCTTCCATCCTTGAATTCCGTGCGTGGGTTCCTTTCCAGCCCCTCTCCACAAGTAGCTTAACAATAGATACTTTCCCTAGGTAACTCAGCTCCCTCCCGCAGCGGGGGATTTTGGGGGCTTCGAGGGGGTCTGGGAGGCGCTGCAACGTTCCACTTACCTGATCTCTTTAATGCTTTCCAATTTGCACATGATTTCTTGTTCATCTGCCATGCTTTTCACTCTCAATTTCTCGTCCTGAGAAATGTACAAACACACAAGTCCAGCGATACAATAGACACAACGTAACCACCTCCTCCGGGCAGGGGATCTGAGCCTGTGCGGTAAGGATTCTGAGCAGGCCTGGGAGCTGTAGTTCTTAGCTCCAAGAGAAGCCAGGCAGCGCAAGGACCAGCGAGACTACAACTCCCAGAAGGTCTAGCGAGACATGCCTATTTCGCTTCCTGCAGCCACATTTTAAATCAATTTGTCACAGATAATTATGTCAAAGGTTATGAGGTATTCTAGTGAACGGGGATGTTCCTCTAGCCCCTGCGGAAAAAATGGGAAAAAAATACACCGGAAGGCAACTGGAGAGATAAAAGACGTACTCACTCACACCCCTCCAGGGGCCCTTACGCCCACTCATCCCCAAAAGGTAACCAGGAGTCAGTCGCTAATTAGTGGGCGCTTTGGGGCTGGAGAGAAACCCTGCAGAATTCTCTTTTGGGATGTTGAGTGTTCGGGTGGCAGCTAGGGGAATTAGTGGTTTTGGCATTCAGATGGAGATGCGGGAGGGCGGGGTTGGAGAAGAGGCAGGGGAGAATGGAGTAGCTGCTAAAGCTGGGGGAGTGACCTAGTTCCTTCCAGCCTTCAATCCATTCTGAGCTCAGATTGTGCCAGTCAATGAAGGAGGCAAAAATGAATAAAAACAGGTCCTTGGCTTTGAGGAGCAGGAGAGCCTGTAAGGTGACCCATTAATTACAGTGCAGTGTTCTATCATAATACAGGAATGGATAAGGTGTAACCTGAGCAGAAAAGATGTAAATAGGTCTCAAAAGGTGATGGAGAATTTGCCAGACCATTGGGGAAGATAGACTTTCCAGGAGAAGGCACAACACATATATAAAGGAAAGGACAAGTGGACCACGGTGTCTGAAGTATAAGGTTCATATATGGGCTGTGGAGGTGGGAAAGAGAAGTGGGAAAAGTATGTAGAAAGCTGGGTTGGAGCCAGAATATGAAAGACCTTGAATGTCACACTAAAAAGTTTAGACTTAATCATATAGGCACACATTTATTCAATTTACATTTATTAAGTGCTTACTATGTGCCAAATAATACCAAATTATTTTATGTTTCAAAGCATGGGAGTGATAAGATTGGAGGGATATCTTAGGGAGGTAACTCTAGAGGCCAAGTGGAAAATGATTTGGAGGAGATGAGAGCTTGTAAGAAATAGTTACTTCCAAAGCACAGACTGGGCCAGAGAGCTGGACTTTACAAAAAGAAGACTTTGGCTCTCTCCCAACTAAAGGTGAATCAGTGTCTCTCTGAATGAGCTTTCCCTTTCTTTTTCTGGGCCTCAGTTTCCTTATTTGAAAAATGAACTTATTTAGCCCCACTTCAAAGGCTTGTTATAAGTATTCAGTGAGATCATCCCAATGGTACTGAATACAGGGCTTGGTAATTTTTAGGTGCTAGAGAAAAGTTAGTAGAATATATATCTCAGGACATTGTGGATGTCCACATTGATTTTTTAGAGGTTCTCTAAGGAAAAACGAAGCCCCTCTCTTCTTTGGATCCCAGAAATACCTTTCACAACCAGGAAATTTTCCATGGTGTCTAGCCCAATACTTTCTTGATGGTCTTTAAGATCCCTGTCGTATAGTTCCACTAGTAAGCATTTGAAGACTATTGAGTTAACTTGTCACAAAGACTATGGGTCTGAGCTACCCTACCATAGAGTCCAGAGGCAAGAATTGGGCCAAGCTGTGTCCTGTAAGAGGAGGGCAAAGGGTACAAGTCTAAGTGCCTGGCACATATCAGCTACTGTGCTGAAAGCTGCATGTACAGTCCCTCATTTCATCCTCACAACCACTATGAAGGTGGTAAGTAGGTTCATCTCCTTTTACCAGGAAAAGAACGGACTCATATAGGGAAAGTGGCTTGGCCCAGTGGCCCAAGGCCAGCAACTCTTAGCTTCTATGAGTTTATCTTGGCTTCTTGACCTCTTCAATAACAGGTATCTCGCCTGCTCTTTACTGAGTTGTAAGAAACCAGGGTAGTTAGGAGAGGAAGGAAAATGTTATAGATAAACAAAGGGAAATAGAAATTATAGCCTTCTGCCCCTTTTCCTGAAGCAGTACTTAAAATAATATTCAAGCCAAACTGGTAGTCTTCTTATAGTAAGTGTTCAATAACTCTAAATTGATTAGAAGTTTGTAATGGATGAGAGAATATTTAGGAGCTGTGCTAGCAGTGAGTTCTAATGCATTATTTTATTAGAAAAACTGATTGCTTTGAAGCGGTGGGAAAAAATCTTAGTCCTATCAGGACCAGCATTGTCCTCATTGCTATGAAACAGGTAAGGAGGGCAAGGAATGTTGGGGTGAATACCATTAAAACACAAGGAATTAGTAAAGAAGAAGCCAGCCAGTTGCTTGTGGGCATGATACTTTCATGAAATAGATCAAGATTTAAAGAGTAGAGGCCAAACTGTTTGAATTTGTGTATCTTTTCCTGTATTTCAATAGTGAACTGAACACTAAGAGAGGAGGCAGAGATGCAATTGCCTTTCAAAACGCGCTGCAAAGTACTTATTAAATTTCTCAAACCATGTTTCTTAATTCGCATTCCTAAGAGAAAAATTAGCCAAAGTTCTTGGGTCACTCAGCTAAAAACTATTCATTGTGTACCTATTATGTCAGGCACTATGTTCTGCAGCAGAGATCCCATAGTAGATAAAATAAGCTCTGCCCTCAGCAAGCTTGCAGTTTATTTGACCAGTTATATTACAAGATCATACACAAATATATAGCTATACCCAGCAATTAAGGATTGGAAGAAGTCTGGGTTCTGTGAATACACATAACAGGAAAATAAACTTAGTCCTGGGCAGAGGGCAAGGTTATAGTCAAAGAAAACCTTCCCAAAGGAAACTAAGCAGAAAAGGAGGGAAGGAACAGGAGGCATCAAGGATTAATTCATGTAATCAGCCTTCAAATATTTCTTGGGCACCTACTATATGCTAGACACTCTTCTAGGTACTGGGGATATAGTGCTTTGAATGTATTAAGTCAGATTAATTTTTGCAACAACTCAAAGAAGTATTTCTGTTATTATCCCCATTTTATAGAAAAGGAAGCTAGAAGGCATAGAGAAGTTAGATAATTTTACCAGAGTCGCTCAACTAATAAGTGGCAGAACTGAGATCCAAATTTAGATTGTCTGTCTCTGGAGGCCATGCCCCTAACCACTATGTTCTGTTACTTTCCTAAGATTCCTGGCCCCATGAAATTTGCGTTATAGTAAGAGGAGCCAGACAATAATCATGGAAAAGAAAAAACAAATAAATATGATAATTTTAGGTGAAGATAAAGCCAATAAACAAACTAAAAGAGGGTAATAGAATTACAGTAGTGGTAGAAGGGAGGATATTTTAGATAGGGTGGCCAAGGAAGTCTCTACATTGGAGTAGAGACCTGAAAAGGAATCAGTCATGCAATGATCTGGAGAAAGAGTATTCCAGGAAGAGGGAACAGCCAGTGTAATGGTCCTGAGGCAGAAACATTCTTGATCTATGAAAGAAAGTAGGTAGGATTCTGGCTGATTGAGGGGAACAGTAGTAGATTGAGGAGATGGGCAGAGACAATATCTTGTAAACCCTAGTGAGAAATTTGGATTTTATTCTAATTACAATGGCAGCCATTGAGGGTTTAAAGTAATGGAGTAACATGATCTAGTTTTTTTAAATAAAAATTTTAATGTTTATTTATTTTTGAGAGAGAGAGAGAGACAAAGTGCGAGCGGGGGAGGGGCACAGAGAGAGGGAGACATAATCTGAAGCAGGTTCCAGGTTCTGAGCTGTCAGCACAAAGCCTGATACAGGGCTTGAGCCCATGAACCATGAGATCATGACCTGAGCCAGTTGGACTCTTAACTGACCTAGCCACCCTGGCACCATGATCTAATTTTTAAAGATCACTCTGACTGCTATGAGAATAACAGATTGTACTGGGTCAAGAGTAGAAGCAGGAAGCTAGTGAAGGGCTATTGCGGTTATCCAGGAAATAGATGATGGTGGCTTGGATTGGGTTAGTAACAGTGGATATGAAGAAAAACAGACTGACTGGAAACATATTATTGGATCCAGAACTGGTATTATTTGCTCACTGGTTGGATAAAGAAGTATGGAGGAAAAGATAGGGCATCTAAAATGACTCCTGGAGTTTTAGACTGGATGATAGGGTAGTGCCAAGAACGGAAGAGAACTATAGGGTGTTAGTTAGAAGGGCTCCTACATGTGGCATATGGAAAATCTGAAGATCAGAAATGGTAATTCACCTGCCTGTGGTCAACCAGTAACTTGGGAGCAGAGATAAGCAGTCCCATTTTCACAGTCTTCTAGAAATTTTTATATTCTTCATCTCTTCAATTAATCTGGCCTAATAATTCTTATAATGTGTGTGGGGTTAGAAATTGAAGACTTATTCAAGATTCCCTTAGGAGATGGGAACTGTGGGTGATTAGCATATAATTTGCATCTGCCTACATGGATTATGCTAGGTATTTTCAGGCCATGTTTCATCTGAGATTCTTGCTATGTTTTTTTTTTTTTTTAGTTTTTTAACTAAAAAGTTTAGTTTATTCATTTTTGAGAGAGAGAGAGAGAGAGAGAGAGAGCGAGCAAGCACAAATGGGGGAACAGCAGAGAGAGAGAGAGGGAGACGCAGAATATGAAGCAGGCTCCAAGCTCCAAGCTGTCAGCACAGAGCCAGATGCAGAGCTTGAACCCATGAACCGGGAGATCATGACCTGAGATAAAGTCAGACCGTTAACCGACTGAGCCACCCAGGCGCCCTGATTCTTGCTATTTTTGATGGCTTTGTGTCATTAAACTATCTTGCTCCTCTACCCTTTCTCACCTACCCAATGTCACTGACCTAAATCCCCCAAATGAAAGTGCAGGATATAAAGAAATGTTGTCAGAGTAGGGAAGGCCCACTCCAAAT